TTGTATTGTCCCTCATTTCTGTTCTGTGTTGTGGTGTTTTCAATAAAGTATTGTGTATTGTATTGTATTGTATTCAATGTGGTGAAGAAAACCCTACTGCAAGCTGTGACTAGACTTAGAAACCTATGGAAACTCCATGTGAGTGCTGGGACAACTCCTAGTGCATACTCAGAAGTATGATTAAGATATAATTTTAAATGCACATGATTGCCGTATATTGGAAAAGACTAGGTAGCCCATGCCCACCCCAGAATGATCTTTTGCTCACCTCAGGACAGGTTCGAGTGGTCTAGAGGCTCCAAACGGAGAGGAGACTCCCCCCGTGGGGAGATGCCATCCGCCTGGAATACCTCCAGAGGCACTCGCCAATTATCGGCTTGAAGTCCCCTTAAAATCTCGTCGTCCTCAAAACCTCACTGTAAAGATCATTTGCGACCAACAGCATACACACTCAAAAAAAAAGACAGAATTGCAGGTCACCTAAATTCTCACCTTCATGATATTCATATTCAATGACACAGACTATTTCTCAACTGCAGCGAAGAAAAGTATTTATTAGCCATAGTAATATAATTTCATGATCTACGTAAACCATCGTATTTTTACTTACAGGTTCCAGCAGGCAAGCAACTGGTACCCATGCTTCTCCTCCACGGCTGGCCTGGCTCCGTGAGAGAGTTCTACGAGGCCATCCCTCACCTGACTGCCGCCAGCGAAGACAAGGACTTCGTGCTGGAACTAATCATACCGAGTCTACCAGGATATGGATTTTCAGACGTATATAGACAACTTTTTCTAATTCTGGTGTACTTACTGTACTTCGGTTCTGTTTTAAATTCTGCAAATAAAACTCATGCTTCACAATAAATAATATTTAGGTTACTTTCTGCGATTTCTGAAGATTCTCATGCAGTCGTATTAAAACTTTAATACCCATAACTGACCGAAAAGCCTACTGAGTATTCATAATATATCCTTCCATGGCGCAGACTGTTGAGCGAACATGACTCTGTTTTAATTTCTGCATGGTGGTTCTAAAAATATCGAATGATTGATATCATAGAAAAATTGGACCAGTGCTACCATAGCGAGAAGCTTTTTTTTTTTTGAGAACAACATGGCGTTACTACTCTCAACTATTTTAAATAATTTCCAGCCAGCAGTGAGGCCGGGCATGGATACTCTTGCAATGGCAGTGATCTTCAGGAATCTGATGCAGAGACTCGGCTTCCAGAAGTACTACATCCAAGGTGGCGATTGGGGTTCCTACATTACGTCCAATATGGCAACGCTATTTCCTAAGGTAACTATTTCAACACATCATTCAAATTCGTTAACATCCAACTTTATCTCTAACATTCTAAGAATTATCTCCACAATAGCTTTGAAGTTCAAGTCAACATTAAAGGAACTGATATAAAAAAAGATTTTTGTAAGTAACACTTCATCCCCATTAAAATATCCTTCTCGTTTCAGGAGGTAATTGGCTACCACGCAAACTTAGTCTTGCTTGTGTCGCCAACAATAACGTTTTTCGAACTGTTAGGCTCTATCTACCCACCCTTGGTTGTGGACAGTAAGCAAGCCAACAGAATGTACCCACCATCTGAAAAGTTCAGCTTTTTATTAGAAGAGACGGGCTACTTCCACATACAAGCGACGAAGCCTGATACAGTTGGTAAGAGGTTTCTTTATGTCTTTTTACTAAGAAGTGGTAAAAAAACGCACGACAAAAGTGATAACTTGAACTAATCTAAGCGGCGCTTCGGGTTAGAGTGAGAGAGGAGGAATCTGTCTACCTCTGACAGCAGAGGTAGACAGACTCCTGTCTGGCTGGCTTCCCTTCCTCTCACGAATACACTGTAAACCAGACAGATTGGCGCCGTAATGCGTTACGGTACGAAGCGGTTTACCCTCCTTTAAGGAGTTATCCTATGGAAACGCTAGATGGCGCAACTGGTTAGCGCGTTCGGCTGCGATCGTTGAAGTTAAGCAACTTTCGCAGTGGTCGGTCATTGGATAGGTGACCAAAAATTTATTATCTCGAACTCCTCCGTGCTTCGGAAGGCACGTTAAGCCGTTGGTCCCGGTTGCATCTACAGTCGTTAGTACCCATCAATCCGCACTGGGCCGGCGTGGTGGGTCATGGCCCAATCTCCCTATTCCATTCATAGGGAAGGCCTGTGCCCCAGCAGTGGGAACATTAATAGGCTGATGATGAAGGAGTTATCAATTCAAAAGATTTTGTTACTATATCTTTGTCGCACTAACCGCAAATGAAATATGTTGCCCGCTCACGTTTCCCTCCTTCCTACAACCCGGAGTCTGTTAAGAAGCAACGGGCCGATAAGGTATGGCATATGGTGAAGAGTTTCTTACCATTGTCTATACATCATTAGAGGCTTTATTATAATATCGAGCAAAAAACATATAGGAATGGTTAATATTATTGATTTTAATATAATTATTTATTTTTAAAGTGAATATGCAACATTTATATTCTGTGAATATTTGAAGCGTCTACCTGTTGCCGTTGTAAACAAAGAGCAAAAAACGGTAAAAAATCACGTTTGTTGCATGGGAGTAAATAATTGATTATTAACTTAATTCTTCTTTCAAGGATTTGTCCCTTCTTTTACCCTTTGAGTTCGGAACTATAAAAAGAGCAAAAGTTAGGTCCGCCTGATGATAAGCGACTCCTCTCGAATACCGCTAACTTTAGATGGCTGCAACTCCAGCTGTGTCACATAGTATGTTGTCGATCTTTTCTCTTATCCCTAGAAGTTTGAAAACCTTAATTATTTATTGATAGGAACCACCAAAAAGGAATGATATTTTACTGCGATCTTCTTCACGATGGAGATTATTTTCTCAATCAAGTGTTCCATTCCTAGAATCATCGAAGTGGTTATTAATTTCAGTTCAGTATTTTTTGTCGTTTTCTTTTTCAGGGGTAGCTTTATTAGACTCTCCGTCAGGACTTATGGCCTACATTTTAGAGAAGTTCTCGACTGTAACCAATAGGTTATTCCGATCAAGGTTAGATGGTGGCCTTGAAGATAGATTCACCAAAGATCAGCTGATCGACAACCTTATGATGTACTGGACGACCAGGTCCATGACTTCCGCAATGAGGCTCTATGCAGAGAGCTCGACAAAGAGACATTACGCTTTGAAATTGCATGAGTGAGTAGCAAAATTTTGTGTCAAAATCAATTACTGTTTTCATAGTTTATATGAAATTAAATTTTAAAAATCTATTTGAGAGCTTTGTTGCGGCTGCTGCCGAGATTTTAATAAACATGTATGACGTATATTTCCCCCTTTAGAATGTACATATAAAAGTGCACGACAGCAGGTTTCTATCATTTAGAGTTAAGTTAATATTACCTAGTCCTCAAACTTCGACACCGCAAGGCAGCTTTATATGGCTTGATTTTCATTTTATGTAACTTCTTGATAGTAGTTATCAATACGTTTACAGACCTAAGTCTGTAAACGTATTGATAACTACAATATATAAATCTTACAGGAACTAAAGCTAAATAAATCTTACTGAAATTTCTTTTACAGAATCCCGACGCAAGTTCCAATGTGCACGATACAAACGAAAAATGAAATAGTCTACTTACCTCCTTGGCTCATCAAGTTGAAATACCCCAACCACCTGAGGGACAACCCCTTAGATGAAGGCGGACATTTCTTGGCTCTGGAGCTACCACAAGTGTTTTCCGAAGATATTTTGGACGCAGTTAAAACAATCAGACAATGGTACAAGAACAAAAATGTAAAGACTGATCTATAGATTGTTTAATTTTTATTTAATGGTGAATGTTTGTATTTGGTATTGTTGAATAAATTTTTACGTTTTTTAGAACTGTTATTTTAGCTAACTTATTCCGAAACTTTGTAGGGGAAGGGGGGGTGCATGATAGGGTAGCTAAGGAAAATAACAATAAAAATAACTTGCCCCATACTATGGGGCAAGATGGGGTAGGCTATTCGTCCTCACAAAACAAGCAAATGTGTATTTCTTCCAGATCTTCATCGTCCACGCCAGCACAAGCGTTGTGATATGATATGCTATAGACGTCTCAGTTCGGTAATTGTTAGTCCAAAAAGATGCTTTTATTTCAGATATGCTTCTATTTCACCTTCTTCCTTAGATGTAAATATAGATTTTTTCGGGCCTAGGGGTAAACCAATAGTAACTTCACCCCCTTCCTTCATTTTCTTAACATATCGCTCTAAAGTAGTCTGAGGTACTGCGTATGCTGAAGCAGCTTTTTGTATCCCACCTCTTTGCTCAAAACTTTATCTACAGCTATTTTCATAGAATCTATCGACCACTCCCCTCTTTTGGTATTTTTCTTATAAGTACGTACCATGATTTTACCTAAAAAAGGATAAATTTATGTTATTTATTAAGAAACTTAAATGAACCTAAACCCACAACCCTATTTTGCCCCAATGCCCCATCATACCCCACACCCAATACCCCATCTTGCCTCATAAGGCCTATCTGAACAGAAAAATAAATAGCAAATAAAATGTTTAACGGATTCCTACAAACAACATACCATATCAAAATACATAACACTAGTAACCAAAAATCAAAAAGACGTAAATGGGGTGATCATAATTACCTTAAAAATAAGATGTTTCAACTTACAAAAAAATGGGTGCGTGTACTTATGTAGGCGCGTAAGAAGTTATCCTTCTTTGGCATCGTTTAAAATTAGTTTTTAATTGCATGCAAATAATTAATTACAATAAATTATTAAAAAGTCTGGAAAAGGACACAGTCAATAAAGTTCAGTTTTAATTTGAAAAAATAAATAAATAATCAAAATATTCAATTAAAATCGCTACTGAATATAATTTATTAGAACATATGTGATTTGCACTTGTATGAAACTCAAACACGTATTCCGAATATACAAACTAGAAACATGTGGATAAATATTATAAACTAGCGGCCCGCCCTCGCTTCGCTTCGGTGTAGAGCTGAAGTGTAGACTACAGTTTTTGTTCTCAGGCTTGTATTATACACAATGACATTCATCTATGATTCTTCTTATACCTGCATGCAAAGTCTCAGCCCGATCGGTTTAAAATTGATAAAGTTTCATACAAACTTTCATTCCTTATTTTATCCCCTTGGGATTTTCTTTATATTTTTTTCCGTAAGAACCTTGTACAGAGTATTAGAAAACTACAAAAAAAAAACAGCCAAATCGGTCAAGCCGTTTTCATGTTATGTCGTGACAACGGAAAACGGGTTTCATTTTTATATATATAGATATGAAAACAGTCTCTGTTCTAAATTCAAAACTCGTAACTTTTCCCGATGTTTGTTGTACGTGTTTCCCGCGCTAGGACCGCGAGTGGCCGCGCATGCGTACGGTGCGGCGGGCGACGCGGTAATGGCAGCGCGGCACATGAAGTTGGTCGCTAAAGCGACCAACTTCATGGTGTTAATTTTTTGTGTTACAGATGCGCGCGCATCTTAAAATTTCACTCTCATAATTTTTTTATAACGCGCCTAAAGAAGTATAACTTCAAAAATTAGATCGACGAAATGCTAAACCAGTTTTCCGTTTGTTAACAAAAGACGCGTGCATTACCGTTCACAGTTTCTCTCGCACTAACCGTTGGTTGAATGAGGCTTTCTATTGGCTTATTGTTTTATATTCACAGACGTCTAGTTTCTTCTATGTGTCCGGTACCCCATCTTACCTCGCTACCCCGTCATGCCCCCCCTTCCCCTATGGTGTAAAAATTATGATACGAGACCAAATCATGATTTTCAACAAATAAAATCAAATAAAATAATGTTTAGGTTTCAAAATAAGAAATAATGGCCTATTGTGGAGCTGGGACTACAGGACTAAGGTCAACTAAAGCAACAACAACATTTTACATAAAACTATCTAGACACGAAATGTCAAGTTGTGGAAAAGACGCCCTGACTGACAAACAGATGGACATCGGATTCTTAGTATTAAGTACATGGATCGATACTACTGATTCATGACAATTGAGTTCAGTCATAAAGAACTCACTGTTTGTATACGGAAGTCTAGAATTCAATAAAAAATATAAAATTAAAACTGTACGAAAACTAAATGCACAAGTCTTAATAAATGTTAGAACATATATTTTTTATAATAGTTATAAGACAATTTCACGAATTTAAAGATTTCAGTATGTCTCATAGAAAAACAACTTATCATTCTGTTTCATTTTCTTATTGAAGAATTGCCTACTAAAGATGACTTGTCAAAAGTTAAAGTGCTGTTATCAACTGCCCAGTATGACGGCGATATTGTTTTTTCTTCTAACAGGTTGTTATAATTCTTTGTTGTTTAAGGATATAAATATAAGCACCTCTGCAGCTGGATAAAAATATACACAACGTTTGATGAAGCTTTAAAAATAAGTAATAATAAATCTCTCGTTAGCTTATCGTAATTTTAAACGATGTTTTAAATATTATTATATGTAGAATGTCATTTAATAATGTATTAAATAGTGGGATTACAGGACTTATTTTGTAATTTAGATGGATGTTCGAAGATCTTTAACGCAAACCATCATTGTTTGGTTCAAATTTGATACTGATAAAGGCTTTTTTAGTGTGATATTCATGGTAGAAGTATTCAATAAAGACGTGACATTAACAGGATTGTAATGTATCACGTATTTTAAATTTTATAATTCAGTCTTTTGTTTTATTTTAACATTTCAAAATTGCAGCGATGCTTCTTTTACTATTAGGCCCAAAAAATGATTTATCTTTAATAAGAACTCTTTTTTTTACTTTTACAATACAACATCAAAGAAATATACCATAAATAAATAAATAGGTGTCGTTCGTTCTGCATGTAATCACAAATTACACAAAAAATGTGAACATTGCCCCCCAGCAGTTCACCAGATACTCGATTAACCAGATACACAACTCGACACAATCGTCAACAAAGATATGAATTATTCCGAGTCATGTCTAGGTGTTGTGTGACTCCAAGATTATCGTTTGTAAAGTTATCAACAAGAGTTACGTAACGTGGCTTGGAGCAAGGTGACTCAATGCCGGTAACCGGCTTATTACTTTATCAATGCTGCCGGCACATTAAGAACGCACAGAGAAAAAGGTTCACACTACTGCGCGTGTGTGAGCTAGCACTGGCACCTGTCGCTTACATAAAGAAACGATTCTATTGGCTACGATAGGCCGCCAGTGCTAACTCCCACATGTGCACTGCATAAAGCTTTTCCTCTGTGACTTCTACTTTTCTGTCTGTCAGTGCACTCATAAACTCAGAGGGGAGCGCACGCGCACAATTTGGTGATTCCAATTGTCATCAGGCCGGTGAGTTATCATGAATTTGTTTACACTTTGCGCATAGTGATTGGGTATCGTCAATAATAGCGTCGGGTTCATCGAAATCTTCCATTTTAACGAATTCGATAACTGTTTCAGTGTTCTTGTGTGAACTGTGTACGAATTTTAGTGTAAATCTAACTATTGTGGTTATATTTTCTGTTAAAAAGATGTCTCCTAATGAAACTTATTTGCACAATTTCCTACTTTAGCAAAAATTTGATTGTGTCTATCCCTCATCACCGGCTTATTAAATAGCATTATTATGGAACTAAACTTCATCTTTCCAATGGCTAGTCATGGTAAATTTTTACTGTTATCCACTACGTGGGTCTAGTTTATATCGGTTGCTGACACTGTCTGGACCAAAATCTCATTCTCTTCTGAAGAACGATTTAGCTGCTATTGTTATTGAGAATTATCCAATCTGCAAGCCTATTATTATGCTATTAAGTATATGTCTACTGATATGATACGATCGTCTATGAAAAATATTCTTCGTTATGGACATCCGCGTGTTGCTATTTCTACGCTGAAGGTTCTTGGATAGAATCCTAGTAAGGGTATTATTAAAACAGCTAAATAAATTGTTCTCCGGGTCGTGTATTTAAATTTATATAGTACTAGCTGACCCAGCGAACTTCGTACCGCCCTAAAAAAATAGGGGTTGTCCAGCGGACAAAATTGTGAATCTAAACCATTCTCAGATCCCCTTGAACACACACAAAAAATTTAATCAAAATCGGTCCAGTCGTTTAAGAGAAGTTCAGTGACATACACACTCACAGAAGAATTATATATATAAAGATTCGTTACATATTCTGTCATTTAGTTTCCCAAATGTCAAAGTTTGTTTACCTTAGGAACTAAACAATGGATACTACTTTTTCGCTATAAATTCCGAAGATGTTTAATAAACATTTTGATTTTATAAATGAATATTTTTAATATGAACTCATCTAATTGTTCGTTAAATATTGAATAGATAGTTTATTAAAGATCAGAGTCTATAGGAAATCTTAATTGCAGGCAAAAGCAGCGGTTGAATTCAGATGCGATTCGCTCTCTTGCAAATTCTACTATTATTATAAATGAGAAAATTTGGATGTTTGTTCCACAATCATGTAAAACTACTGAACCAATTTGGATTAAATTTGGTACGCATATAGTTTATGACCTGGATACTTTTATACATTAAATAAAACTAGTTTTTACGGGTTAATGCACGAAACTTTATTTATTTATTGACGTTTCGCAGCCTTTTCAGGTACTTTTATACATTACAATACGATGATGAGATGACGATACTTTTTATCCCAGAAATGTTAGAGTCCTGTGGGACTCTCAAGAAACTGTAATTGCGAGCGGCTACTAGTAATTTTATAAATGCGAAAGTGTGTCTGTCTGTCACCTCTTTACATTTAAGCCACAGAACCGATTTAAACGAAATTTGGTAGTAGTTTTCATACCGGAAATCATTCTTTGAGAGGGTGAAAAGGGAAATGGGAGTTTGCATGGAAACCAATTTTTCTACACGGGCGAAATCGCGGACAATATCTAGTAGTTTAGGTATCTGATGTCATATATTTGTTATACATTATTTTCATTAAATATTACAAGCTTTGCTTAGTTTGGGACTAAGAAATTGTCCGAAATTTAAATATAAATAAATAAATATTTCCAACACTCACACCAACTTAGCCTAGCCCCAAAGTAAGCACTGTAAGACTTGTGTTATGGGATGCTAGGGTAACGGATAGAATACATATACTGTACATATATAAGTATATTCATAGTATATTCATATAGTACAAATGCTCGTATTCATCACACAAACATCTGCCCCCACCGGGATTCGAACCCGGGACCTCTGAAGTCGGCGACACCATTGAAATCCGGCGTAGAAACATATCGGCCACGGAGGTCGACAATAATTTAAAATTTGAACTGAAAAAATTTACTGTCTTCTTTAAATCATTATTTGTAGTGTCTTATATTTGCATTGTCTTGTTGCTAACAGATATGTTTGGGAGATACTTAATTACTACACCATCGCTTATATAAAAATGGAATAAATACATACCAACAAACCAATTCGCTGACCTCTTCCGATAGCTACGAGAATCTTATCATCACCAACACCTGAATAATGATTTTGTTTTTAACAAATAATTATTGAATAAATGTTTAACAATCACTCTATAAAATTATTCAAGTATAATTCCGAAAATGGGTAGTTGCAATTGAAAAATAATTTTCCGAGACAAATAATTTATATTGCTACTTTTTTTAAGCTCGATTGCTAAATTTTCATATTTAAGTGTTGCCGCACACCGGCATATTTCTTGTAGTTTTCATACATTTTATAAGGACTCGCCACACACGGTACGCGCATGTGGCCGCCACACGCTACAAATCGTCGTTGCTCGCTTCTTATGACCCGCACCGGCCACTTAATGCGCCGATACAAAACGCCGCGCGCCGCTTTAGTAGCCGCTTCTAGCTTCTCGTGGCGGCGTTTGTGGCTGTGGCGTGTGGCCCGTGAGAGGCAACACTATTTTTTTTTCAGATTGCTTGTTTTTATTGCCTTTTCTTATAATCTAATATTATTATTAAGGTAACCACGAATATGTTAAAAACATCTTTTAGCATTCTACTTAAAGCTTTTTTTGTATGGTCTAGTGGACCCTCAAAATTCCAAAAGTGCCTATTGGACCTTATGAACATGGCCCATTCGACCTTCTTAAAAATGTACTTAATGTGCACTTTCGACCTTTTTAATTAGCCTAAAGTACCTTCGATATTAGACCCTATCTGCAATTGTACCCACTCGACATCATTTGTATGTCCCATTCGACCTCCCTAAAATATTATAATGAAAGTGTCCCTTGGACCTCTCTTCTGGGATCTATGGAACTTATTGACAGTTTTATTAAGAAAAGTAGTCGATGACTGTAGTCATATAGAAAATTGCAGACAAAACCAAAATTAATAGTAGGTGTTAGAAAGCCACTAAATAAATACTGTTTAGGTAATGACTCCAAGCAGTAAGTAGTCCTTAAAAATAAATATGGAGAAAACAGTTTCCGACCGAACCGAAAAAATTCAAAGATTCCAATTGTCATACCCTCCATACCTCACCGTATCGATATGTAGTGTGAGTATAAGAAATCTAACTATTTCAACCAATTAGCTTTTAAGAATGGATACGAGGTTATCGGCTTACTTCCGTATCATTGCCAATACAACCTAATTGAGGTGGTGTGGACTCTAGTAAAAGATGAAGTCTCAACCAAGAGTAATACAATTTAAATGCATTAAACGCACAAAAAATTCAAAATAAAGCTTCAGACAAGCACATTTATGTGAAGACTTCTTACTATTCATTGACGAGGACAGTGACGATTAATCTGATGTATATTTATAAATTAAGCTGTTAAAAATGAATAAAACATATATTATAGCAAAAAAGCATTAATTTCCCTCAAAATACGATGTATTTAAATATATATCCACTCTCATAAAATGCAACAAAATAAAACAATTGAACAAGTTTATATAGAAAAGGTTAAAACAAAGTGAAAAATTAAATAGAAATGTATCAATATAAAGTTTTTATCGTGATACACATCTCTGTGCTTAAACAAAAGGATGGCGCCAATCTCATATATGGCCAGTGGGCACATTGTTCTTGACAGGAGGTCGAATGGGTACTATCATGTTGGTAAGGTCCAATTATGAAGGTCCAGCTCTTTTGTCTGGCATGAGAATAATTTAGTTTAATTCATGAATATATCTAAAGAAAAGTTTACTAGAAAAAATGCGAAGAGATGGCGCTTGCCTTGCAGCTTAAGGCTAGGAAAATTTCGACGCGGCGAATAGGGCCGTGGTAGCATAATGGTCAGTGCTTCGCCAGGATTGCGAAGAGTGCGGGTTTGAGTCCCGTCCGCTGCCTGTTTTTCTAGTAAACTTTTCTTTAGATTTAAACATCTAGCAGTAAAATGCTTAAAAATAAATAAAAACATAATCATGAATATATTTTATGTTTAAACAATAAATTAAAAAAAAACGTACTTATACTTTTACTTTGTCTAGTCCATATTATTAATAGTCATGTTTTATGCCTTCATATACATATTCATGTATGCTTTATTATAATTGAATATATTACACGTTAAAGAGGCGGACCTACTCGTGTACACTCAGAAGCAATCTTAGACCGTTATTTCGGGTTAATAACCTCAACAAAATACGTTACTATACAGAGTCCACAACCTTTATGGCAATGCAACACGCTTAGTCTAATAAAAAGAACTTAGTTCAATTACAGGTGAAACTTCAAAGAATTTTTTAAAAACTATAACAGAGACCCGGATATAGATGAAATTATAGCTAAAAGTACAATTAAAATTTTTTATCATGTACGAATCCGAATGTAAATTACTTATGATAAACCTGATAAATTGTCAGAGCTTCGTAGTTGAGATGCATGAATATTAGCTATACCTCAAGGTTAGTTTTTAAGGTTTCGATACCCACAGGGTTACTATTTTAAGGGAAGTTATTAAACACTAAACCTTCGTTGTCTATTTACATAGACCACTGGATTTTCGAAAATAAAGTGTAATACTGTCGCTGACATAAACTGAATTTTATCAGCACGCTTGGCTACTTGATGCATTAGCTACAGTTAAACGGTTAAAGATACCCGTCGACTCCAGCCCAGCACTTAGGATTAGGACGAGATCAATTTTTCTAAAAAAATAATGTCGAAAAAAAAAATGTATCAGTCACATGCTACAATAAAAAAATGCAAACAAAGCATGTACAATAGATAATAAGTGAAGAAAAAAAAAAGCGTATACATATAATAGAATACTCATTGAAAAGGGAATGGACAATATGTCCAAATTATATTAGTTAAGTAGACATAAGTGAGCATGCCGCATGTTTGCATGATAAAATATAAAAGGCCGCACTGAGTGCACAAACAAATGTATATAACAAAACTTAAAAAAAAAAGTCAAACTAAATAATGGCATGGGCATACGCCTATGGAGTAATAGTATTAAAAAAATGCACTTAAGATGATCTGAATTATTTGTACAAAAAAATCATTAGACATTAAAAAAGGTATATTAACTAGATGATAATTTGATGATACTCAAAGACCTCGTGGTTTAATTCTTCTCAGAAATGGCGAAGTTCATCTTTCTGTTGGCGATACTGGTGGCCGGTGCTGGAGTTTGGTACATGGTTCAAACACCGGATGTACCAATACCTAACTATGACCAGAACGAGTGGTGGGGACCCAAACAGCTGAAGGGAAGAGTGGACAACACGATAAAACCGTTCAAAGTCAAATTCGAAGATGCGGTATGTAATACAAACATTTCGTATATTACCTGTTTTATGAAGGCACAGATACTGTGATTGTATTTCATCTGAAGATTTGTTATGGAAACAATTCAACAACTTTAGATTTTTCTCGTAAAAAACATAGTAAAAAAGGAAGGATAAATATTTGCTATTATGAGGAACTTCAGCATAGGTAAATTTATGTAACAAAATGCATCTTTTGAATGCTTAAAATATTTTATTCAATCGATATTTGTCAGATGTTGTCCTGTTAATCTCTACTGTCTGGTTCCTAAAAATTTATTTTGGATTGGCAATATAGATTTGTCCAACACTATTCTTCACCCCTAGCACAAACCAATATCGAATTCGAATAGTTAGCGAGTGCGAAATGTAAATATCAAATTTTGTATGGAAACTTGTACAGCAGCCGTACAGCGGTAAAACCAGTATACATTTGACAATGACATTTCGACTCGCAAGCTATTTGAATCCGATACTGATTCGTGCTAGGGGTACTGAGATATAAACTACGAACGCAGCGGTTATGTACGTACTTAAAAACGTTTAAAAGTCGATGTCATAATACAATATACTTCCCCTGGACCGGCAGTAGCAGTAAAAGTTGTTCTTACCATTCTTCTTCTTTTCCCAGATGATCAAGGATCTTCGCCAGCGTCTGAAGAACCACCGTACCCCAACCCCGCCCCTCGAGGGGGTGGGCTTCGAATACGGTTTCAACTCCAAGAACCTTGACAACTGGGTGAACTACTGGGCAGACAAATACGACTTCGCTCAAAGAGAAGCGTTCCTGAACAAATTCCCGCAGTTCAAAACTAACATCCAAGGGTTGGACATACACTTCATCAGGGTGAAACCGCAGGTTGGTAAAAGAAGATTAATTTAATTTTGCATACAAGTACAAAAGTGGTTTTAAATCAGTAGCAATTTTAATTGGTAGTGTGAATCTTCACGTTATCAACAGCATTCTTTTCGCTTCATTCACAATATCATTTCACGTAGTCCTACCCGAATATATAAATATTGGACAATACATACTACAAAAATTGCTTTCATCATCATCAGCCTATTAATGTCCCCACTGCTGGAGGCCTTCCCTATGGATTGAATAAGGAGACTGGGCCTTGGCCCACCACGAGGGCCCAGTGCGAATAGGTGGGTGCTGACGACTGCAGATGCAGCTGGGACCAACGGCTTAACGTGCCTTCCGAAGCACGGAGGAGCTCGAGATAGTTAACTTTTGGTCACCCACCCAATGACCGACCACTGCGAAAGTTGCTTAAGTTTAACGGTCACAGCCGAACGAGCTTACCACTTGCTCCATCGAGCTCCTCAAAAAATTGCTTTCATTGCACCCAAATAAAGTACCTTATCACTTATATTGTTAATAACAACATTTTGTATGAGGTGTAACAAGGTCCAAACCGTCGAATGCTTGAGAGAAAAACTTTAACTATTATCTTTTATGCCTGTGCTTACATTGTAACTTTTATTCCAGGTGTCGTCAGGAATACAAGTCCTACCATTATTACTCGTCCATGGGTGGCCAGGTTCTGTTCGGGAGTTCTACGAAGCGATTCCTCTTCTTACCACGCCGCGACCAGGATACGACTTCGTATTCGAAGTCGTCGTACCCAGTTTGCCTGGATATGGATTCTCAGATGTAAGGAGATGTTTACTGTTTGCTTATACACTGATCCGAATTTAAAGCGAGGCCTAGCCCCGCCTGGGCTATGGCCCTCTTTCACCCTTTAAATCCGGTCCTGCTTATATCTACAGACAGTGTTTACTCAAACTGTTACTATATGTCGTTGCTACTTACTACATTTTATAGTATGATATTACAATGGCATTCAGCATTCTAAACACATATCCTACTCCTGGAAACTAAATTTCAAATGATTTGCCTTAAAAACACTATATGATAATGCTTCCAACCTAAGCTTAGGACAGTTAAAGTCTAAACGGGTGTTATTCTTGATAACACGCCTTTAATGCAAATTATCAGAGACTACTTATTTTTTGAAATCATCAGAAAATTCCGTTGCAGACTTTCAGAATAGACCTTTGGCTTCGACTGAATCAACGAGAATACCAATACTAATTCAAGTCTAATTATTTACGTTGCTGGCTTCAGTTTTAAACTCTACAAATGTTCCATTTAGTTTATGATAAGTAAAGAGTACTTTTTTCATTTATGTGAAATTATGCAGTACCCTATTTAAGTCATTATTTCATTAAAAACTTTAATTCTCAGGCTGCCACCCGTCCAGGACTTGCGATTCCCCAAACAGCTGTGATTTTCAAGAACCTGATGTCAAGACTTGGACACAAGAAATTCTACGTGCAAGGTGGAGACTGGGGTGCTGGTGTGGTCTCCGCATTGTCCACCATTTATCAAGATGACATACTCGGACATCATACCAATATGGCTTTTGTTCAGGTACCACAATAATATGAGATTAGATAACTCTTTATTTCAACACCAATTACGTAACTATATAAAATAACATTTTAAATTAAAGTAGAGTGTCACAAATGATGCTCTCATCGCTTAAAGCGGTTTTTTCCAGACAACCGTGGAAAGTTTGACAGAAACTGAAAGATTGAGGTGTTAAATTACTTATAAACTAAAAAAATACAACTTTGAGATAGATTTCAGATTCCTTAAGACTTCTTATAAAAAAATGAAACATACATTTAATAATGTATAGAAACATATACAAGAAACAGCAACATCAAAACCATAGCTGAAGACATAGATGAATGATTGGTTTCGAAGCGAGACCAATCATTTATCTATGACTGAAGATAATATTGCTTAAGCTAGTCTTTAAACGTATTTAGGGTCTGAGCTCGTCTGACAGCTACAGGCAATGAGTTCCAAAGCCGTACAGCATGTGCGACAAATGAGTTATCATGAAAAGTTGAGCGCTGGGTGGGCTTAGAAAAAGACAGATTTTCTAAAGACCTAAGTGAACGCGATAACGCATTTTGTTGGAACTTAAAAAGAGAGATTCCTTAAGATAGCGCGGTGGAAATATTTCATGTCTATGATAATAAAAGCATTTTATTATCATAAACATGAATACAAATTACTGCCTATGAAACTGTTATGATTACACGGCTCAGTAATCTAAGGCACATGTTCCACTTCCGACGATGAACGATAAGCGAGTAGAAACTAGAAACGAATTGGCAGTCCTGAGTTAAAATGCACGCGCTCGGCTTTTGACAGCCAAAACAGCTTAACCGAGAAGAAGTTTCACTTCAATAAATACTTTTTCCAAACTAACTTATTGAAAGCTGTTTTGACACATCCAATATTTTTTACTACGCTACCACAACTTCCTTCATGGTATGTCTTTATTGGAGACAATGGATGTTTTCCGACCAAATTATTCTAAATCTTTTTTTAATCAATACAGGTTGATATTGAAACGGATAAACAATAATGTAACATTTCCAGCACCCCATGGTCACATTGAAGACATTGGTTGGAGCCTTCATTCCTTCCTTGGTGGTGGAACCCCATCTCGCTGAGAGAATGTATCCACTGTCGTCGTTTTTCTCCTACGTCTTGGAAGAATTCGGATACCTCCACTTGCAGGCCACCAAGCCAGATACGATCGGTAAGAGATATTTTTATTAATTTGAACAAGATAATGAGGAGTTCGATGGCGCAGGTGACGCGTTCGGCCTGCGATCATGAAAGTTAAGCAACTTTCGCAATGGTTAGTCACTAGATAGTTGAAAAATATTTTATTATCTCGAGCTTCTCCGTTCTTTGAAAGGCACGTCTTAACGTGCTTATGTGCCACCGCACACGGGCCACACGCCACAGCCACAAACGCCGCCACGAGAAGCTAGAAGCGGCTACTAAAGTGAAGACTAAGGTAAGGGAGAGAGGGGTGGGAAATCGCGCGAGTGACGTGTGGCGGCGTTTTATATCGGCGCATTAAGTGGCCGGTGCGGGCCACAAGAAGCGAGCAACGACGATTTGTAGCGTGTAGCGGCCACCAGGGTAACGTGTGTGGCGAGTCCATATAAAATGTATGAAAACTACAAGAAATATGCCGGTGGCGGCGTTTTATGGTTGTGGTCGGTGGCCCCTGTGTGGCGACACTATAAGCTGTTGATCCAGCTGCATCTACAGTCGTTAACACCCACCATTCCGCACTGGGCCCGCGTGGTGGCTCATGACACGGCCTAGTCTCTCTACTCCATCCATAGGGAAGACCTGTGCCTCTAAAGTGGGGATATTGATAGGCTGATAATAAAATTGATGACGATGGTGATGTATAAGATATTTACACGGATACAGCTTGAGTTAGAATGCCTGAACAAAAAATTTATTCAGTTTTGTCAATTTTTCCTATATGCTAAGTCCAAGACCGCGGCTCAACTGTAGATTATTTTGGTGATACTCTTGAAGTAACAAATGAATATCGGGCAATCATCGTATTTTTCAGTGTCAGTTTACCAATGACCTAAAATCATTAAAAAACTCCTATAAGGCGACATCAGAAGCAATCGGATTGGGTGTTGCAAGTTGAGAGGGTGGATGTTCAATCCTCATGGATACCTTAAGCCGGCTGTAGGGTTAAATGACAGAATTACTGAATATAACACCCAGGGACGCGTCCTGCCATATAGGCTTGTAAGGCTTCATCTAATTCTTGTCTGATAAAGGCTTTATCGACAATATACATAAAGTACACGCTGTCTAGAATTGCTGAATTACACTTAAAAACATGTTGTCTTATACAATCAGGTCCACTACCCCTGATCCTTAGACCTTCCGCCGCTCAGTCTCAATCCGATACGATCTTTTCACAGACAAGATAGGCCCTAGTATACTAGCAAAGTTGCATCGCATCAGATAGTCTTACCCCTTCTTAGGAGAGAATCAGACCAAGCTCTGGTATAAGCCTTTATGGCCGGTCGAATCTCCTGTGATGAATAGATATAGGACAGAATAGATTTTATTTGTAGTTAAATGATCTTGAAAACCTCCTTGGATAAAAAAAAATCAAGAACATCATAATTTTTATTTTTAGGGTTCCGTACCTCAAAAGGAAAAACGGAACCCTTATAGGATCACTTTGTTGTCCGTCTGTCCGTCCGTCCGTCTGTCAAGACCCTTTTTCTCAGGAACGCGTGGAGGTATGAAGCTGAAATTTATATCAATTACTCAGGTCTACTGTCCCTTGAAGCTGTGAAAAAATCAAACTTCTAAGCCAACGCAATCAAAAGATACAGCCGTTTATGCCGCAAATTTTCGACACTTGCAAGGGAATCAAAACCTACAGGGTGCTTCCCGTGAACTCAGAATCTTGAAATTTGGTACCAAGCAACGTCTTATAGCATAGATAAAGGAAAAATTACGAAAACCATAAATTTTTAGTTACATCACATAATATATTTTTTTTTAATAATTTTAACCTTACTACCCATTTCCTCATAAACGCGTAGAGGTATTAAATTGAAATTCATACCAAATACTCAGGTCTATAATACCTTTAAGCTGTAACAAAATCAAACTTCTATGTCAACGCAATCAAAAGAAACAGCAATTTAAGCTGCATATTTTGAAACTCGCAAGTACTCGCAAGGGAATCAAAACCTAAAGGGTACTTCCAGTCGACCTAGAATCTTGAAATTTGGCATGAAGCAACGTTTTATAGCACACATAAAGGAAAAATTCCGAAAACCTTAAATTTTTAGTTACATTACAAAATATATATTTTTTAATAAATATAAACTTATTACTTTTTTCCTCATGAACGCGTAGAGCTATCAAGTTGAAATTCATATCAAATACTTAGATCTAATTGCCTTTAACCCGTGAAAAAAAAAATTCTAAGGATTGTCGTAATGAACGAACTTTGTAAACCTTGCAGGTTTGTACGGAACCCTCGGTGCGCGAGTCCGACTCGCACTTGGCCGGTTTTTTAAGCATGTAACTCCTTGATGTTTAAATCTAAAGAAAATATAACTAGAAAAAAATCCACGTGGACCAGACTCGAACAGGGACTCGAACCCGCACCCTTCGCAATCCGGGCGAATGCACTGTTCGTTCGAGTCCCGTCTGCGTGGAATTTTTTCTAGTTATATTTTCTTTAACATTATTTATTTTCTTTTTATATTTAAACATCAAGCAGATACATGCCTAAAAAATAAAAATTATAACTATAATTGCTATTTCTTCTTTCAAATGTTTAATACTTGTGAATGTATTCATATGACATTGTGGATTACCTACAATGCGAAGAAATGGCCCTGCCTTGCAGCTTAAGAATGGCTAGAAGAATTTCGACGCGGCCGTCAAGGGCCGCGGTAGCATAATGGTCAGTGCATTCGCCCGGATTGCGAAGGGTGCGGGTTCGAGTCCCGTCTACTGCCTGGTCCGCGTGGAATTTTTTCTAGTTATATTTTCTTTAGATTTAAATTAGAGATTATTGTCAACAGGTGTCGCCCTCAATGACTCTCCTTCCGGCCTTCTCGCCTACATCCTAGAGAAGTTCTCCACGTGGGTCAACTATAACAACAAGTTCAAACAAGACGGAGGTCTCGAGAGCCGCTTCACCAAGGATCAGCTCATCGACAACCTGATGCTGTACTGGTCTACGAACTCGATCACCACGTCCGTCAGATACTACGCGGAGAACATGAGCAGCAAGGCGAGAGCTGAGAGACTTGATATGTGAGTAGCTTGTGTCTTTTGTCTTTTCTGGGTTCTAAAGTTTAGAACCCAAAAGATTACAACCTTATTACTAAGCCTTCTTCCTACCACCCGTAACTGAGAGAATAGTTGATATTTACCACGAAATTTCAAGTTTCGACATCAATGGGAAGTAAATAAATCTTCCGTACTTCCAAAAAAACCTGACTTAGGTGGTTATTAATTCTTTTGTTTCCCAAATTTTTTAAAACAAAAGTCACCATTTTTTATATATTCAATAAGCTCTGAACAACGTTATTCCAATCGGTATTGCAGATCAAACATTTTTAAGCTCTCTTTAACTATACAGGTGGCCTATATAAGTTATAATAATTTCTACGAGTTCTTCTCGTAACTTCGATTTTATCGATTTCAAAAATTCGAAAATGGTCACTACACAAACTTAAAATAAATATTACCCATCTATACGATTCTCTCAGCGTATATCCTGTTTCGTCGTCATGATCGAATTTTTCGAATCATCATCAGCCTATTAATGTCCCCACTGCTGGGGCACAGGTATAGAGAGATTGGGCCATGACTCACCACGCGAGCTCAATGCGAATTGGTAGGTGCTGACGACTGCAGATGCAGCCGGGACCAATGGCTTAACGTGCCTTCCGAAGCACGGAGGAGCTTGAGATATTAAATTTTTAGTCACCCATCCAATGACCGACCACTGCGAAAGTTGCTTAACTTCAACGACCACTTGCGCCATTGCGCTTCCCGTTTTTCGAATACGAATGAGTAATAAAACCTTTTTTATCTTCCAGGGTGAAGACGAAGGTGCCAACCTGGGCGTACCAGGCGAGATACGAACTCTTCTACCAACCTCCATCTCTGTTGAGGCACAAATACGTGAACCTGCTCAACGTGACAGTAGCTGAGGGAGGCGGCCATTTCTTAGCGTTCGAATTGCCCGAAGCTCTGTCCGCGGACATCTTCAAAGCCGTGAAAGCTTTTAAGGAATTCCACGCGCAGAGCAAAAAGACGGAGCTGTGATTTTTTCAAGACTGTTTTTTTATGATTGCGTCCACATCATTATCGCATTTTGAGAGCAACGTATCAATTTTATGACTTTTTTTTTTAATATTAATTGGAGCATTAAACTACTGGATTTATTTAATAACTAGCGACCGCCCTCGAGTTCGCGTTAAAAAGTATTTCGTCCAAATCCGTACAGTAGTTTAGTAACTTTCACATTTATAATACACTAGCGGCCCGCCCTCGCTTCGCTTCGGTGTAGAGCTGAAGTGTAGACTACAGTTTTTGTTCTCAGGCTTGTATTATATACACAATGACATTCATCTATGATTCTTCTTAAACCTGCATGCAAAGTCTCAGCCCAATCGGTTTAAAATTGACAAGTTTCATACAAACTTTCATTCCCTATTTTATCCCCTTGGGGGTAGAATTGATCAAAATCCTTTCTTAGCGGATGCTACATAACATCTACCTGCATGCCAAATTTCAGCCCGATCCGTCCAGTGGTTTAGGCTGTGCGTTGATAGATCACTGTGTCAGTCAGTCAGTCACCTTTGAGTTTTATATATATAGATATTAGTAGGAAGTAGGATATTTCTTCGTGTCGTTTACATACGATATTCAACTAACTAGGTTTTAATATTATTTGCAATAGTTTAAATATTTTAAAATGTTGCGCTGCAAAATAAAGTATCGATGTGGACGCATAAATTCTAATCATGTATACAAACATACTTGATTTAAGAACAAATGAAGGCTGTTTAAATAGAAAGTTGTAAGTTTTTTAACAATCGCTGTTTTCAAATGTCAAACCTTGTACAGTGGTAAGGAACCTCTCGTGTGTATGAATTTTGGGATATTTTGATTGTTGTAATTGATTATGTTTTCATCAACTTTAAGAACGGTAAAACAATCCTGATATTTCTGGAATTTTGACAAAGTATATTTGAAATATCAAGTCATGAAAACACTTTTGTTGTGCACACCTATGAAATAAAACTGTTTTATTACAATATAATTTAGTTTTCTTTTTGCTAAATGTTTTCTGACGTATTGGAGACTTAATTTCTAATACACTAATAGAAATAAGGTTGATCTACACAAGTATAAAATATTAAAAATGCGAAAGAACTTGTCTGGTAGTCTGTTATTTTATTCAAGGCAAGAAGCTGAACCGAGGTTAAATCTTCAGAATTGTAGCTCAATAAAAGAAAATAGAAAATAACTTAAAAAATCATTGCTACTGCACTAAATACAATAGTTGTTTAATATATCTACATGAACATTAAACATATTATATACTAGCTGTGCCCCGCGGTGTTACCCGCGGATTATTAGGGATATTTTTCCGCAGTAAAACGTAGCCTTTGTGTTAATCCAGGGTCTCAGCTAACACCATACCGAATTTTATTAAAATCATTCCAGCCGTTTAGACGTGAAGAAGTAACAAACACACACACTCACAAACTTTCGCCTTTGTAATATTAGTGTGATTTTCGTTGCCAAAAGTTACACTTTGTCGAAAGACTGTTTACTATTTAAACAAGACAAGTAGTAACTTAATACGAAACCTCGAACATTAATTAATTATTATTAGACGGGACAGGCTGCTGCCTGGTCCGCGTGGATTTTTTTCTAGTTATATTTTCTTTAGATAATTAATTTAAACATCAAGCAGTTACATGCTTTAAAATAATAACAATTATAAATTAATTATCCTTATGATTTTCTATAAAAAATGAAAACGAAAGACAACCGTGAACAGTTTGGATTTTAAATATTATTATTATTCATTCTTGATTCAGGCAAAATAATAATATTTCATACTAGCTGTGCCCCGCGGTATTACGTGCGGATTATTAGGGATATTTTCCCGCAGTAAAACGTAGCCTGTGTGTTAATCCAGGGTGTCAGCTAAGTCCATACTAAATTTTATTAAAATCGCTCCAGCCATTTAGACGTGAAGAAGTAACAAACATACACACTCACAAACTTTCGCCTTTATAATATTAGTTTGATTTCGATCAATATTTCAATATGAGTAAACAGATCTTCATTTTTAACTTCCGCAACGAGCGCTTTACTTACTATAAGTCAAATTGATTGTTATTGTACGCATCACCTAAGGGTTCATATCTCCCCTAAACAGCCCTCGTCTCATGGGGTGTGATGTTCACACACTCTCCCTTCAACCCTAATTGATAGTAGGCCCGCCACGCGACCAGCTCTAATGTCGCATTAATATAGCGGATTATCGCTTATCTTTTATTGGAGTGCCCGTTCGAGGGCGAAATTGATTCCGCAGCCAAATATTGCTGTTGACTTTTGATATTTTATTTGTAACTAGTGTTGCCGAACTATCGATATGAAAACTATCGACAGTTTACATCGAAAATCATGTACTCTATCTATAGGCCTATCGATAGAATCGATACAATCGATAGTATCGAAACTATCGATAGCACAGAACAAGGCAATACTATCGAATGAGTGCAATAGTATCTATACTATCGATACTATTGTAGTTCGTTAATAACAAACTATTGATAGTATCGATACTATCGATACCGTTGATTTTATCTGCAACAATACTATCGATAGTATCGATACTAGCGATTGTTTTAGACTATCGATAGTCTACCAATTTGCAATAGTATTAGGTATGTTTTAATAGTATTGTAGTTGAGGACTATTAGAGGCCGATATATATATTTTTATAAACATTTCTATCGAGCTGTGCTAATTCTAATAGTTGATTGTGATTGACTATAATACCTGAAAATTGTAAACAATACTATTGCAAATTGTTAAACTATCGATAGTATAGTTGCAAATAAAATCGACAGTATCGATACTATCGATAGTTTGTTATTACCGACCTACAATACTATCGATAGTATCGATAGATACTATCGATAGTATCGATACTATCAATTGTCATACGATTGGTCGGCTATCGATAGACTATTGATTAATCCTCGATAGTCGACTATCGATCGGCAACACTATTTGTAACCAAGTTCCCTTTCGGACGGTACGAAGTGGATGGGGTAAGGCGTAAAAAAACCGGCCAAGTGCGAGTAGGGCTCGCGCACCGAGGGTTCCGTAGAAACTCAATTTAATACCTCTACGCGTTCATGAGAAAAGAGTACCTAAAAATTTACGGTTTTCGCATTTTTTCTAGTAATACTAAAGACGTTACTTCGTACCAAATTTCAAGATTCTAAGTTCACGGGAAGTACTCTGTAGGTTTTGATTCCCGTGCGAGTTTCGTAAATTTGCGGCATAAACGGCTGTATCTTTTGATTGCTTTGGCTTAGAAGTTTGATTTTTTCACAGCTCTAAAGGACAGTAGACATGAGTATTAGATATGAATTTCAGTTTGATACCTCCACGCGTTCCTGAGAAAAACGGTCTTGACAGACGGACGGACGGACAACAAAGTGATCCTATAAGAGTTCCGTTTTTTCCTTTTGAGGTACGGAACGCTAAAAAACTGTAAGATTTTTTCGTCATGAGACAGTCAGTTATTTCATAGCGTATTGTGTGTATTTATGTACTTATACTTATTGTTAACTTTGTTCCAACCGAGTGTTCCACGACACTCACATTTTTTTTTCATTGACAAGGCTCTAACCTTATGTATGCCATTGACCGCATGTGCTTGCAATGATGGTAAGTGCATTAATTTTAGGATTATCACACGAGTGCCAAAAAAGAGTGTAATGTTCTCAGGGTTCATAGATAAAACCATTTATTTAAAAATAAATATGGGACAAATGCTCGTATGCGTCATACAAATATCTGCCCAGCGGTATTCGAACCCAGGAACTCTGAGTAGGCGACACCTTGAAACTTGACGTACTTATAACTAGAACCATGGAGGTCTTCGTGCCATTTCGCAGACGACACGATCAGAAATTTTGAATTTTTGAAATTCGGATAGTTGGTTGGTTGGTTTAGTTGTATGGAAGATTTTTAACCGACTTCAAAAAAGGGTTCTGTGTTCGACAACATATATTTTTTTTATGTACAATTGACGGAGAAATCGGTGAACGATTTCTCCGTCAATTCCGACCGACTTCAAAATCGAAAATGGAACTAAAAAGTAAAAAATAAATTTTCGTTTCTGATCGGTAATAATACGTCTTTCTTTCAATTTTGACCCGTCCGACTTCTAAATCATGAGCCACATATTATTTTTTACTTTTTAGTGGACCGATTTCCAAAATTCTTTTTTAATTCGAAAGAGTGCACTTCCGAAGTGATGGTGGAATCCGGGGAAATCGAGGGAAACCTTCAAATTTCAAAGGCACGCACGATGTTTTTTATGCATTGTTCGCCGATTTCTCCGTCAATTGTGGACCCTAATTTCCTAAATTCTTTTTCTTGTTTATTGTTTACTTAGACGATGTAAATTTCACTAAAATAGATGAAATAAAAAAAAAACAAAAAAAACCGACTCCAAAATCGAAAATGGAACTAAAAAGTAAAAATAATATCTGATTCATGATTTAGAAGTCGGGCGGGTCAAGACTGAAACATTTACTTTTTTAGTTCCATTTTTGATTTTGAAGTTGGTTTTATTTACAAAACTTCTGAATATTTGACGCATAGGTATCGAGATTGAATTCAACTACATAATAATATTCAAAATTGGTTCATGCTAAGGCTTCAGTACAAATATTTATTTTTCATTCACCTTTGTAACCGCTGTGGGCGTCGATATCTGTTAACACGCCTACTTAGAAAAGGACAGAACATTATGAATTAATGAGATACCGGTTTTCCTACCCTAGGTTTGCTTTGTAAGCTAAAATTACGTAACGCAATACCACAAAAATGTTCACTTAATTCGTGTGAATTTATGATTTCTGTTTTTTTGTTCTTCGGCTTTCTACGTGATTAATTTTTATTTTTTTTAATTTATTCATGACCATGGATACAAGTCCTTCAGTCGTATACATAAATACAAATCTTAATCTTCTTTTTTTTACATTAGACTGTCGGTCTGATACATTCTAATGTTTCTTTGAGTGTTTTGCAAAAAATGTATCGAGGTCATTTTTTCGTTAAGCTTCTGTGAGGTAGTCAACACTAGAATAAAGTTCTCACGTCCACTTGACCAGAATAGCGTAAATTTTAAAGATTCCACTAATTCTGCAGTTGCACAGATGGTTATAACACAAAATCAGACTAATTTTATTTTACAATACCCACTATGAACGCATTTAAGAATAATTAAAATAAGACGACAACTGCACTCGATGAAATCTCGCCGTGTATGTGACGGCAATCGTCATGTTACTTGCCAATATGGGTGTATTCAGCAAAAAAACACGGTACACGGCAGTATATTTATTCCAATCATCATCATCATCATCAGCCTATTAATATGGATGGAATAGGGAGATTGGGCCGTGACCCACCACGTGGGCCCAGTGCGGATTGGTGGGTGCTAACGACTGCACATGCAGCCGGGACCAACGGCTTAACTTGCCTTCCGAAACACGGAGGAGCTCGAGATAGTAAATTTTTGGTCACCCATCCAATGACCGACCACTTCGAAAGTTGCTTAACTTCAACGATCGCAGCCGAACGCGCTAACCACTTGCGCCATCGAGCTCCTCATTTATTCCAATAGTTCAAATTATTTCGGAGACGTTCCAAATTAGCAGTCTCACAAATGAAGACAGATGACTTTTGGCCGAAAGTTTTAACACAATCTGAAGTCGTTTGCGAAAATTTTGCCGCGGTTACAGACGACCACGGTACAATAACACAACCTTTTGGTGGTGTTGTGTTTCTGTCGGTGAGTGAGGTTCCAGGACTCCACGGAGTACCGTGGAGCCCCGGCGAGGCCGGGAAACTGCTGGGTGCGGAGATATCCCCATTAGCGGGGATCCCGCGGCACCGCATCAGGCAGTAGTGAAGGTATTCGCAGGACTTTTTTAGCGGATATTATACCGTAAAGCGCCCGTAAGAGTTGCGGGGTCCCAGGTGGGCATCCACTATGGGGGTTCGTAAGACTTGCGGGAGCCAGGTGTGAGGTCCGTTCGGCGGTGTGCCCCTTAGAGGCGCCGTCGTCTGTAAAAAGATTTTTTAACTGCGTAATAAAAAAAAAGGTCTCCACGGAGTAGGGGATTGGGTCAGGGTAGGCAACGGTCGTGGATGTGTTCTCGGGAGTACCCATGACCTTGTTCGGCAGCGACGCGTCCCTTCAATCAATCAATCAATCAATACTTTATTGCGTTCTACAATGTTTTCTTAGATCTTAGTAGGTACATTGCTTTGATCATTGTAGACCCTGAACAGGGCACAGCAAATAGAGAAGAGGACGCATTATTTATTATTTATTATTCATTTTTGCTTAATATTATATTATATTATATTATTTGAATTATTATCTATGTCATATTCTATAGTATATTATGTTATATTTATATTCATTTTTATTATATACAAATTAAATTAAATTAATAAAATGTCAGGTATAGTAAAAAATTAAATTAAATTGTAGATATCATTACTTTAAATTATTATCTTCTAAAAATTCCTTAACCGTGTAATAACATTTGCTTAATAGTAGCTTTTTAATTTTTCCAATGAATATATTATCTTCCCGACGTGTCCTCTTCGTCAGAAGACGATGAGGATGCGGCGGTGATGGACGTGCTCGCACCAAGGCGTATGTGAGGGGCATCGGTGGGTTTTAGTCGGTAGGCCGCGGAGGCACCTTGTGGAGGGCAATCTGTCTGCCCCCAGAAGCCGCGAAGAGTCCGACATAACCCCATGCATCCCAAAGCACGGGGTATGCGTAATGCATTTCCCACCGTAAAAAAAAGGGTAGCCAACGATGCGAGCGATATTTTTGGTATCGCAAGCGTCTATATGGAGCTCGATGGCGCAAGTGGTTAGCGCGTTCGGCGGCGATCGTTGAACTTAAGCAACTTTCGCAGTGGTCGGTCATTAGATGGGTGACCAAAAATTACTATCTCGAGCTCCTTCGTGCTTCGGAAGGCACGTTAAGCCGTTGGTCCCGGCTGCATCTGCAGTCGTTAGCACCCACCAATCCGCACTGAGCCAGCGTGGTGAGTCATGGCCCAATCTCCCTATTCCATCCATAGGGAAGGCCTGTGCCCCAGCAGTGGGGACATTAATAGGCTGATGATAAAGCGTTTATATGTAATTGAGGCCGCTTACCATCAAGCGGGCCTCCACTCGTCTGTGTAAGCAAAATGGTCGTCACAACCATCTGTTATATTTCGAGCTCTTTTTAACCTATCGTCTTCATTTATGTCTTAAATCAATCTTAAATATTTTCTGCATCTATTTCTATTTATATATTCTCACCATCATCAGCCTGTTAATGCCCCCCCCCCCCCCCCCCCCCCAGATCAAATGTAGCTAGCCGCAAAGCGCGAGCAATTGTCTTCCTTACCTTAGTCATAAGCTAGCGACGCCCTTGGTCACATCGACAGTTTAAAAAAAAAGATTAAAATTTGTATGTATGTATACGACTAAAAGACTTGTTGACTGAAGGTCATGAATAAATTAAAAATAAATAAAATAAATATTTCTAACACTCACACTAATTAGCCTAGCCCCAAAGTAAGCAATCTAAGGCTTGTGTTATGGGATGCTAGGGTAACGGATAGAATACATATACTGTACGTAAATAAGTATATTTATATAGAAGATACATATTAAACATCCATGACTGGAGTACAAATTCTCGTATTCATCACACAAACATCGGCCCCACCAGGATTCGAACCTGGGACCTCTCGAGTCGGCGACACCATCAAACCCGGCGTACAAACTACTCGGCCACGGAGGTCGTCAAAATAAATATAACAAACAAAGTAAAAAAAAATCAAACAAACTCCTAGATATGTAATTATTATATCTTTCTAGAACATTTTACCATTTTTACTTACTTACTCTACCATTTTTTGACAATACATTCATGCAAATACAGGGGTCTAGGCTCCTAATATGATTTTGTGCCATTCGGTGTCGAGACCCTTGGTCCGTGGGGTCCTAACGCTGTAGAGCTTTTTAAGGAAATATCAAAAAGGTTAGTCGACATCACAGGAGACCGAAGATCTGGCAGCTACCTCGGACAAAGAATTAGTCTAGCTATTCAAAGGGGGGACGCTGCCAGTATCTTCGGAACCTTGCTTAAAGGGACTCCTTTTAATAATGTAGGTATTTTAGTTATTATATATAATTTTTTTAAAGTTTTAAGTTTTTATTCTCAGGTAATAATGACATTAAATAATACACTTATTAGGTACATTTTCGGTCAGTAAACATTTTATTCCTTGTTATTGTCGTGTATTCATATCATTTCTATTTAATCTTTTTATATCAACGAAAATATTTAAACCATACAATTGTTAATTTGAATACAAAATCATTTTGATGTAACCACTTTTGTTGTAATTGAGAGAGGCACACCTACCAATCTTACCCTAGTTTTATAAATATCGATAAAATAACGAGTACGTTTGTTACAATATACATAAGGGTAGAAACGCATTTAATAAAAATATAATTTAAAAATAGTATAGGACTTACATTAACAAAAAGGTATGCCCCGGGTGAGGATCGAACTCACGACCTTAAGATTATGAGACTTACGCGCTGCCTACTGCGCTACCGAGGCCGGTGAATCATGTGTCAAAATAAGTATTCACATGTGACATTTAAGTCAGTTATTTTTAACCGACTTCAAAAAGAATGAGGTACTTTTTTATGTATGTACACTGATTACTCCAAAGTTCCTAATCCAATTCTTTTGTGATTATTTTTGGTACGAAGCATAATAATTGCCATTTGGTCCCATAAAAATTTTTATTCAATTTGGTCCAATGGTTTTCTTTTTATAAGCATTTAGTTGACTTGGACGATGTAATTTTTACGATACTTTGTTTATATGTACATCGATTGTTCAAAGATTGCTGATCTGATTTGAATGTTTATGTTTTAGTTCGATAGGATGCCTATACTTGCCATTTGGTTCCATAAAAATATGTAATATTTAGTTAGACCGAGTAGTTTTCATTTAAGAGCATTTTTGTAGGTACTTTGTGTACGGCTGTGAAGTCAGTGTGTATGTGCGTTTCCCCAAAAAAGGATGAAATTTAAATTATTTTTACACAAACAATAAAAAAAAACTTCTATTTAAAAAATTAAACTAAAAAGTAAAATATAATATCCGATTCAAGATTTGGATTTTGTAGAAATTATTTACTTTTCAATTCCATTTTATTTATTTTGATTATTTATTTTTATTTAAAACTATTTATAGTACTAGAAGTAGAAATATCAAATAAAAATAAAATATCAGTTTTCATGTATCACGGTGTTTATTAAATGATTAATTAAAAAAAATAACTATATATCAACCAACACATCTATAATAATAATACACACATCAATAATAATTTACAATTTATATTGTTTACACCCCTACAAGAATAAAAAATAATAGTAAAATTTAAAAACAAACAAAAGAGTCACAATTTTTATTGGAACTACTTCGAAATTGCATTTGGTACATAATATAAATTATTTAGAAAAAAAGTAAAGGATAAAAAAAACATATACCAACAACGATAATAATAAGAGCAGTACCCCTAGCACGAACCATTATCGAATTCGAATAGTTTGCAAACCGAAATGTGAATGTCAAATTTTGTATGGAAACTTGAACAGCAGCGGCACAAAGTACGTAACGAGAACTAAAAATCAGTACACATTTGACACTGACATTTCGGACTCGCAAACGATACGAATGTGATATTGGTTCGTGCTAAGGGTACTGTTCCTAATTAGTTATCTTTTTTAACACATTCAATTATCAAAATTTCTAAATTCGTCAACCAAAAAGTTTACTCTAAAAGCTTCAGAAAAAAATATATTAAAGATTTTGTTTAACCACAGATAAATAAACTTGCACAATAGACGTTTTTATGTAAAATTTCTACTGCGTAGTCGTTGCTCAAGGAGTTTGACTGGGTATATACCAACTTACTTATTATCTCGTTCATCGTTCTTCCCCTTGCAACTGCTTTGTCCATTCTTTCCATCGTCCTTCCCATTTTGCGACGGAGCAATCATCAACAGGTTGTTGCCATTCCTATCCGCCAAGTTCCTGAATGGCAAATTCTGTCTCCATCTAGGTGAGAAGTAGTACTGATTTCTCAGCACCCTTAAGTGGTCTTTGCTGAAGTACATTTCTGATCGGCAACTGATCTGCCTTTGGTAGCCTGCGTTCTCGTTTTCCTCATTACCGAATTTGTGGAACTCATTATCGTTACCAATCTTAGCTTTAGGGCCATCTTCTTCGTTATAGAATGGTCTTTTGAGTCGTATCCTCCTAGATTGTGGACTATGCGGAGATTCACACTTGATGGCTAAATCGGCTGTGTTTTCCTTGTTCATGGAAAGGCCGTGATTCTTCTGCCATTCCAGCACTTCGCATAGGAGGCCAATGTACCTGTAAAAGATTAGTTATAAAATAAACTTAATTCATTTTTTAATAATAAAGGATTCTAATGCCGCTTATTCATTTAAGAACTTGTTTGCTGGATGAGGACCAAGATAAAATCTAGATTTTCTGAGCTATTCGTTTACGGTGATATAGTAACATCATTTTAATGAATAAAAAAGTTTTAATGGTAATTTTATTACTGTTCCTTGGAAATCACTTTGTTAAATTAATTTCCAACTAATTCCGATACTGGTGTAACAGCAAACATGAGGTGATTATATGTGTATAAGATTTGTTCTAAACTTTACTTGTCAGTCCTAATAGTAGGAGAGGAGAGAGGAGCCTAAACGGGGATTTTGGGATTTACTTGGGCGCTGCGAAATAACCTAAGGGGCCCAACCTTGGCCCTTTTGAAGTACTCCAATAACATGCTGGCACCATCTCTCGTGGCAGCTGGTGAACAACTTACGAGGTGGGCGGAGCAGGCAGTAGTTCAGGAACTGCACTTCGTCCCCTTTGGTTTTACTCAAACATTTACTAGACGGAACTCGGAACACCTTGAGGATTTTGCCTGGAGCATAACCTTCCGTCCCCCTCTCAGCGTGAGGTATCCATGATGGGTTTCCCCGAATAAAAAACAAGGTCTAAAACTACATTACTTACCTTATCGCCATCCTGAGTATCTCGTTCTTAGACAGCTTCTTGTCGGGTGGATGCGTGGGCACTAGCCGACGCAGCTCTGCGAAGGCACCGCTCACGTTCTGTTGGCGCCATCTCTCGCGGCAGTTGGTGAACAATTTGCGAGGAGGACGGAGCAGGCAGGAGTTCAGGGACGGCACTTCATCGGACAGATTCTGGTGGACAAAAATTGAGGATTATGACTTATCTGACCCCAGCAAATTTTCTCCTAATGTAGTCAGGTTCATAAATTGCACTTCAATCAACTTTCGCCAGATTCAAAAATGGGGATTAGTGACTTGTCTGTGTTCAGCAAACCTTTCATAAGAATGGACAGGAATTCTTAAACTGTTAAAAATGAGGATTATAACTTATCTGACTTCAGCAAACCTTCTCTAAAAGGTAGCCTACCTAGGTTCATAAATTGCACTTCAATCAACTTTCGGCAGATTCTAGGGAGAAAAATAGGGATATTGACTTGTCTGAGTTCAGAAAACCTTTCACAAAAATGGGCAGGAAATCTTAAACTGTGTTTTCATATACACATACTGGTAGGAAAATGTAGATTACGACTTATCATATCTGATTTCAGCAAATCTTCCCTAGAGTTCCAAGTTTCTTTAAATTTCATTTTTGAATGAGATAGTAACATTTCAAGTGTATCAATCTACAAATATACATCTTATCGGGGTATCCACGAGAGAACAGAGCGTCTCAAGGCATGGTCTTTACAAATATAATTTCGTTACCTCCACATTCATAAATCCCTTCACACAAACCCGCTGGTTTTCTAGCTATCTGGTATGATCGCAACATTTCCCTGTGTGACAATTCAACCCCATGGTTAAATTGATGAAGTAAGTTATTTGCACTAACACTAAATATAATTACTTTCATTAATGCCCGCTGAGAAAGGAGAATAAAATTTTGCACATTTCACACAATTGTTCCCTCATTTTTTAGTGGAAACATTAATTATAATAAACACTTCATCGTGGCGAGTCATAATTCGCAGATAATTCTACTGTGACACAGAAGATGGCTAGTCATAATCACTGAGTAGATGGCACTGGACAGCTTAAAATCCCTAGAAGATGGCTAGTAGAAGGACTAGATTACCCAACACAGAACAGCTAAAGTTTCTTGGATCTTGTAGCAATGATGAAGATACTTTTGTATCTTGTCTTATATGCGATTGACTTCCACAATAGTACAGTCTCTGTGTTTTGATTAATGTTAACTAAATTGTGAACTTTGAAATTTATGTACCTGTACAGTCCTAGGGATATTTCTTTCATCGTCGCTTTCCGGCAAACAAAGGTCGTCGCTCAACATCTCACTGTCGGGCTCCTCGTCAGAGCACGACTCCTGGTCCGACGCCATCGATGGTGGGTATACTGCGAGGTACAAAGTTTTTAAACCAATTTTAGGAATTATAGTAATATAAGTTATTTACGGGATTGTTACCATGTACCTTGTTTTTAGCGAGTTTCCGATATTTCGGCACTGTTGCAAGCGCCATGAGCACGGAGTAACTGTCAGTTACATAGCGCTATGATCACGGAGTAACTGTCAGACTCAGTTACATAGCGCCATGATCACGGAGTAATTGACAGTTACAAGACAAAGTAAGGTAACAAAACAAGGTACATGGTAACAATCCCGTAAACAATTTATTTTACTATAATGTTAGTGACCATGAAAGTTTAAAATAACTTTAGGAAGTTTTCAAGTTCCTTTGAGGATATGGTGGATGGGAACTAGGCGAAAATTTATCATCACAACCTAGCGAGGCAGCTAGCTAGGCAGCTAGCTAGGCAACTTGCTAAGCAGCTAGGCGAGTAGCTAGATGGACAGCGAGGCGGGCGACCACTGTTGTGAACTTAGTTTTAAGTTTTGTTTGGTAAGTGATGAACCGGGAGCGTGTGCGATGGACCGGGAGCAGTGGAAACGGACCTAGGTCCATTTCGCACTGGGCTCAGTCCGCTCTGGGACCGTTCCGTACTGGACCCATCATAAATATAATAAAAAAGTGGTTTAAATAAGTGGTTTTTAAGTCTGGGTTTAATTAATTGCATTTTAAACTACGAGTGCAAGTATAGTATTATATTAATTACCCAAATTTGATTTTTTGATTAATCGGGACATTTAGCGTCTTTATCAGCTACAAATCGGGTCGCATCCCCAGACCCCTGAAAATCGGGACGTCCCGCGCAAATCGGGACACCTGGCAACACTAGTTACAGGCTACTTTTTATAGGACTTTTTGCCGGGATCGGGAAGCGTCACTTTAGCAGTTTCGTTTTTCTTGTTAAAAATTGTGTTGTGGCGGATGTTAGTGTCTAATAATGGTGGATTATTAACTACTAAGTGTTCGGGAACATGCACAAGTGTTGGCAAGTGAAACAAAATAGCGGAAAGTGTCTTTCGACGTTCCCTCAAGAAGTCCACGGGGAGGTTCCAGTAAATCCCCACACATTTACTGAAACATAAGGAAAGGGGGATTGACTTGACTGCCACTTACTTTGACTTGACTAATATTTTGACCACGAGTGCTATAGAATATGTAAACATTTTACACTTGACATTGGCTAAATGCAAAAACCGTGCGAAGCCATATAGAAAAAAAAATCTCGAATAGGGCAAAATGGGCGATCTAAATTTTGAATGGGAAACCAATATAAACACTCACACGCAGTCGTGGGCACTCGCTATATAGTATGGTATAAACATTACGAAACCCTTTGCAAATGTAGAAGATAAAATCGAAGTGACCAGGTCAATACTGGTCCGAACAACGTCTTTGATGTAATGAATGCATGAATTAATTAGTTAATACAAATAAGAATGAGGATATTGTTGGCAAATGCGTTGGTAAATATAGCACTTCCGCTGATAGCAGCATCCGCTGTGCTAACGTATAGTTCGTCAAATGTAACCGTATTAATAACATTGGTGACTATTTTTGTCGACTTATTTATTAGGAATAGGTGAAATAATAATCGCACTCAGTCAATCACTAAATTTCATTAAATAATATAATAACTATATATTAACTGCAAAATTATTTCCGCAGCTTTTTTTTGAGTGTGTATACTGTTGGTCGCAGATGACCTTTACAGCGTCACCGGGTTTGGGGACGGCGAGATCCTAAGGGGACCTCAAGCCGAGGATTGGCGAGTGCCTCTTGAGATATTCCAGGAGGATGGCATCTCCTCACGGGAGGAGTCTCCTCACCGTCTGGAGCCTCTAGACTACTCGAACTTGAGGGGGTCGGCTCAGGTAGAGGGCGTCTCTGAGACTCGGACCTCGGCTCTAGTCAGCCGTTGTCGTGGGGAGTTTTCTGCAGCGGGGGAATCGGAGCGTTTTGTCGCGTTTACGCGGTAAATCGAAAGCACGTAAAAGAAATAAAATATAGGCAAAGGTTTTTTTTAATATACTATGCTTTTATAAAAAGGTAGATTAACAATATTGAGTCGTAATTTTGTAGAAAAAGCTGTACATTTAAGAAAAAATGCAACTGTTTTTGAAAAATAAAAAAATGGAACATCATTCTTATTTTTACTGCAATCCTCTGTAACAATTATATTTGGTTAGTTGTTCAGAAAGATATTAAAATTCTAGCGTAACCATTTTGTAACTACGTCTTTTCTAAAAGATCAGGCCCTTCGCAAAGTCTGTCAAATGCACTTTCCATTACTGCAGCAAGGAACTGCAACGCCCGTAGCGTTACGGCCTCCTTGCTTGTATAAACTCTTTGCTTATGTAAGTATCGCCGCACACGGGCCACACGCCACAGCCACAAACGCCGCCACGAGAAGCTAGAAGCGGCTAATAAAGTGGCTGAAGCGCGCGACAGCGGCCGACTAAGGCAAGGGAGAAAAGGGTGAGGAATCGCGCGAGTGACGTGTGGCGGCGTTTTGTATCGGCGCATTAAGTGGCCGGTGCGGGCCACAAGAAGCGAGCAACGATTTGTAGCGTGTGGCGGCCACCGGCGTACCGTGTGTGGCGAGACCATATAAAATGTATGAAAACTACTAGAAATACGCCGGTGGCGGCGTTTTGTGGTTGTGGACCGTGTGAGGCGACACTAATGCCTACGGCTGGCAGTTGTATAAAAAAGTAAACGTCATTATTTTAAAGATTTGAATATGAGAACCTTCTGTCTCATATCAAATATTCTGGGAGATAGAATTCAGGCACAGACTCGAATGGTTGATAGGAAGATTATTGGAAATAATTTCTCTGAGATTAAATAAAAAAGTAAAACATATCGAGCATTATCATTCGTAGTTACTGTAAGCTTCCGTGCCCCGTGGCTTCCCTTCAGGTTAAGCCCTACAGTACTGTAACGTCCGTTACGTTACAGCCTCCTTGTTTGGGTATACTCTTTGTTCATGTAATGCCTACGGCTGGCAGTTATATTAAAAAGTTAATGTCATGATTTTAATATTTGAAATAAGGAATCGTCTGTTTTTTGATAGAAGGTTCCACATCATATGGACTACCCGGCGACTCCACCATGCGGAGTTCTACCCTGAAGGGGTAGGCCTTGGGAGCGTAGCAATTTATTGAATCAACTTTGATTTTATATTGGTTTTATTACATTTCAGGCGAATATAAAATATATGAGTTTAATCTATCTACGCATGGTTTGGTGCCTGTAGTCCAGGGTAGAACTCCGCAGTACCTTCTCTGTTCTATAAAGATTATTGAGGAACGAGGACAAATAATTTGGTTCTTCCTGGATCTTCTCGTAGAAGGTCTCTCGGCGTAGATTTGCGAACCGATGGCATAATTTTCGACTTCCACGTGTGCTTGTAAAAGACTGAATGAATGAATTGAAATTTATGATTGGATTGGCGTTTGTAGACACCGAAATGCTTTTATGCTATATCAAAAAAGCTTCGTCTTTTAGAAGTCACGGTAAGCCGTTGGTCACGGCTGCGCCTACATTGAAAGCTTTGGCTCTACGTCATGTTGTGACGTGATTCTGTATATCGTAAGGCATGTGGAGACATTGATAGAATATATAATGAATGTTTATACAATTACAATTTTGTTTATTGGTGACTAAATCAAAAAAAAACCTTTGAATAAATTATATACATTTCATAAAGATTATATAAAACGTCCAGTGGAAATACAAAATCGATTATACGAGACTTTGGTTGAAAATTTGTTAAATACATAATATATCATTTTAATCAGATTTTTTGAAGTTATACTTCTTTAGGCGCGTTATGAAAAAATGATGAGAGTGAAATTTTAAGATGCGCGCGCATTTAGTTAGTCGCTTTAGCGACCAACTTCATGCTGTTACTTTTGTGTTTACCGCACATTAAGAAAATCTACCAACAAAATAGAAATAGAATCTCTATTTTGTGGGTGCTAACGACTGCATTGTGAAGGCCTATCAAAAGTATTTATTAATCTGGAACAACGGAACCAAAGCGCGATTCAGGAGACTACAGCGCCATCTCTTGACCATTGGTGTAGTAGAACCAAAAACCACATCTTTATTTTTTGTAATAAAGTAACAGTTATAGGTATTCATATTTATAATATTTATCCACATGTTTCTAGTTTGTATATTCGGAATACGTGTTTGAGTTTCATACAAGTGCAAATCACATATGTTCTAATAAATTATATTCAGTAGCGATTTTAATTGAATATTTTGATTATTTATTTATTTTTTCAAATTAAAACTGAACTTTGTTGACTGTGTCTTTTTCCAGACTTTTTATTAATTAATTGTAATTAATTATTTGCATGCAATTAAAAACTAATTTTAAACGATGCCAAAGAAGGATAACTTCTCACGCGCCTACATAAGTACACGCACCCATTTTTTTTCCTGTATCGATCTGTTTATATTTCGTGAAAATTTGAGTACTTTTTTGGCGCTTATGCAATTATTTATTTTTTTGAAGATTTTTATTATTCACAACATAAATTTTGATATTTTTTGAACTTTGTTGAATTTTGATTTTGTAGTTATAATTTTTATATTATGATTTTACGTTTGTTTGACAAGATATTTATGGCGGGCAGAGTGATTTTCGCTTAAGCGACATCTAATTCGTAAAGGCACCTAACTTCATAATAGGAAAATATTTAGAAACACTTAAACAGTTACTGTCGAAAATTATTATCTGATAAAACTTGCAAATTTGGGTAAATGATGCACGTTCATCAGATTTTTTGATGTACCTATAATATATTAGTAGAATAATAGTCTGTTGGTTTTTGAGAAACGCTAAGTAAGATAAATTGAGGAGCTGGCGAACAAAACGGTATAATAACGCATCTGGTCAAACTACTTTTATTTACAGTCCAGAGGTTTCGGGCCCTTTGAATTTGAATCTCAAATAATTTTCAATCAAAACCGCCTAAAACAGTGTTAAAATTACTAAATTTATAAATTAAAAACCACGCCGAAAGCTCACAGGAGGTATCTCATTCAGTTTTATACAGCTCCCGTAAAATTTAATTTTATGTAATTATGCCCTTTTTTTTCGCCAGCTCCTCAATTTTAAGTTTAGTTAATTTAATGAGTGGTTAGTTAAATATAACATGCATTCCACTCACCGTTCTTACCCGTGATATCTGACACAGTTGGCATAAAACTGCAATTGACACACACTTAACAAAAACACTAACTTCAATAAATACACTATTGATGTGACCTCTTCCAATGATGGTATGCGACTGAGGAAAAAAAAGGAATATTTGTATTTCGAAGGAGAGGTTTAATGCTACAATCCTATTGGCCACTTGCGAAAATGTATCTACCAATCATAGTGTCGAGCGAAAAAGGGCGGGCATAGAGGGTATCCCTCAGGGCTTTTCGGAGGGGCTTCTATTTTTCTTTATTGTAATTTGTATGATAAATTTATTTGCCAGTATTGCTCGTGGATGTCTGGTTTTGTTTTAATTTTATCAGACCCTTTTCTTTAAACTTTATTTAAAAACTAACGGCCGCACGCGACTTTGTCCGCGTAAACTTTAGTTTTTTGGGAATGCCACAGGAAGTTATAATATTGTATCTAGATCTCAATTAAGGACATAAACTATATGCGTACCAAATTTCATCCAAATCTGTACTGTACTTTTTGCGTAATTAAGAGCCCTTTCACATTATTTACAAAAATTCGTAATTTTTGAGCGCCTCGTTTACCCCCATAAAGAAGATTTTGACTAATTCCAATAGAAGTAAATTTATAGTAGACTTATTCTTCCTATTGTAAGTTAATGTAGAATATTTAAAAAGTACTATTTTCCTTTTTTTGTACTGATCGTTCTACGGCAGCTAGTTTACGGAAAAAACGATAATATGCACAATTTCAGACGCCTAATTCTGTAAATAATGTTCAATAAATTAGATCAAATTAATTACTACGACATCAGAAATATGTTTTTGTTGTAACAATGTATTAGAATTTTGATTTTGCATCTCATTAATTATCAAAAAAAACATCTAACCTCCGTGAGTTTTCTCAAAAAACAATGCAGGTTTACCTCGTATTTTGATATTGAATTAAATAGAATTAATTACTATCGAAAACTTTCATAAAACTAATATTCCATCATTGAACTACTGAAATATGTATATATTTTTACAATTAGTTCATTAATAATTATTTTATAAGACTCGGAACATCACCCGTAAAATGCAATATATACTAGTGCAAATCTACCTACGCGCCAATTAGTACGGCAGCGGCGCAATTTTGTAAAAGGGCTCTTAAGTCACAATTATACAAAGTTTCATATTTATGATTATTAGTAGGATTAGCATGATACTAGCAAACCAGTGAACCAAATGTTCACCAAAACCTGATTTAAAAAAAAATGTATTTAATTAATTGAGAACTTCGGAGATTTTGTGTGGTTTCGTTGAAATTCGTGATTTCTCGAAAACCGGAACTGCTACGTTACTCAAATCCGGTTTGTAGTCTTATCAGACTATTCTTAACTTATAACTTAAATATTCTCTTTATCTATCTCTTACGGTTTGGCCGCTGAAACAGCACCACAGACGGACGGACTTGTCTAATAGGTAAGAGATTAGGATATTATATCCGTCGATTATGACTCTTCCAGTGAAGAAGCTTTTCATTTCTAGTTCTTTGCACCTCCCAATGTAATCCTTATCCGTATTGTAAGATACTTCATGCATTCTGTAACCACCTTTATAACCACATGAATGCAATTTATTGTTTGATTTCTTTAATTTCCAGAACCAAGAATGTTAAGGAAGTGTTTGGGAAAGAACGTGAACAGCGCCTTTGAGCAATCATCATCAGCCTATTAATGTCCCCACTGCTGGGGCACAGGCCTTCCCTATGGATGGAATAGGGATATTGGGCCATTACCCACCACGCGGGCCCAGTGCGCGGCGGGTGCTAACGACCGCAGATGGAGACGGGACCAACGGCTTAACGTGCCTTCCGGAGCACGGAGGAACTCGAGTAGAAGATTTTTGGTCACCCATCCAATGAGCGACCACTGCGAAAGTTGCTTAACTTCAACGATCGCAGCCGAGCGTGCTAGCCACCTGCGTCATCGAGCTCCTTTTTTGAGCAATGCGACTGGTAAATCCCTGACTCTGCTGCTGCAGTGGACTATTTTGCTTGTCCTTTATCATCAGCCGATGAACGTCCACTGCTTGACATAGACCTCTTCAAGGGATTTCCAATCACAACGATCCTGCGCTTTCCACATCCAGTGAGTCCCGACTCGCTTGATGTTCTCAGTGTAAGGCCGGGACTCCACCAAAGCGGAGACGAGACGAGAGAGAGGAGATGTTTTATAAACAACCAATAGCATTGTGTTATTGACACATCTCTCCGCTCAGCTTCAGTGGAGATCGCTGTGTGGAGATGTGTAATATTTGTATAGCGCGATGTGAGCTGTGCGCGGACGACGCGCAGTGGAGACGAGCAGGGCTTGTTTACCGGTTAATTTTCAAACCTAAATCAGTGTCTAGTACATTAGGAGCGTTTTATTTAGGTTTGGCTCTACCTTAACCTTAAATAATCGGTTTTCCTAAAAAGCAAAATCAAATAGGTTTTGAATCAATTAACCGGTTTTAAAGGGTTTCATTTCGCTCTTACTGACGGCTGAAATAAATACACAACTACAAAATGAATAACTTGACTCACTAAACGCTTGCAAACATGTCAATAAATGCATCAATATCTGAGCATTAACAAGTTGTGACTTGATTAGTTCAAACAAAGCAAACTTCAAGCGATGCCGACGCGTGCACGTGTGGTTCTGAATAAAACCGGTTTATTAAGGTTTTAGGTACCGCTTTCATTTCGGACGCGCTCTGAACGAAACCTTTACTAAATTAACCTTTATTTACCGGTATTTTTGAAACCGGTTTCAAGCCTTGGAGACGAGAGATGTGAGTGGCGTGCAGTGAGCGATGTCACCCTCCCCCCTCTCGCCCGCCAGCAACCCGCAGAGCCCCGCTGAGCACTCAACGCCTCGCACCCGTGCTGAAAAATATCTCTTCTCGCATAGCACACAGCACACCGCATACATCTCTGCTTTGGTGGAGTCCCCCGAGCTGAAAAACATCTCTTCTCGCATAGCACACAGCTCACCGCATACATCTCCTCTTTGGTGGAGTCCCCCGAGCTGAAAAACATCTCTTCTCGCATAGCACACAGCTCACCGCATACATCTCCTCTTTGGTGGAGTCCCCCGTGCTGAAAAACATCTCTTCTCGCATAGCACACAGCACACCGCATACATCTCTGCTTTGGTGGAGTCCCCCGAGCTGAAAAACATCTCTTCTCGCATAGCACACAGCTCACCGCATACATCTCCTCTTTGGTGGAGTCCCCCGTGCTGAAAAACATCTCTTCTCGCATAGCACACAGCACACCGCATACATCTCTGCTTTGGTGGAGTCCCCCGAGCTGTAAAACATCTCTTCTCGCATAGCACACAGCTCACCGCATACATCTCCTCTTTGGTGGAGTCCCCCGTGCTGAAAAACATCTCTTCTCGCATAGCACACAGCACACCGCATACATCTCTGCTTTGGTGGAGTCCCCCGTGCTGAAAAACATCTTTTCTCGCATAGCACACAGCACACCGCATACATCTCTGCTTTGGTGGAGTCCCCCGAGCTGAAAAACATCTCTTCTCGAATAGCACACATCACACCGCACACATCTACTCTTTGGTGGAGTCCCCCTAGCTGAAAAACATCTCTTCTCGCACAGCACACCGCACACATCTCTGCTTTGGTGGAGTTCCGGCCTAACTGGTGAGCGGTCTACCGTCACTGCGCTTCCCGGTGCGAGGTCGTCATTGAAGTACTGCCTTGGGACCCCAACGTCCACCGGTTCGCTGAACTATGTGCGCTGCCGACCTTTTTTTACCTGACTGCGCAATGCTAGATCGCGAAGCGCGACGCGCAGACATGGTATAGTGTTTTTACCTGACTGTGCAATGCAAGAGCGCGAAGCACGACGCGCAGACAGGGTATAGTGTTTTTACCTGACTGCGCAATGCCAGAGCGCGAAGCGCGACGCGCAGACAGGGTATAGTGTTTAACAGTCTATATATGTATTTATGTTCCTTTGTGGCACACTAGAGATCAAACGCGTGGACCGATTTTGATGATTCATATACCAATCGATTCGTCTTAATGATGGAAGTGCTACTAAAGATATTATAGTAATCAGAATTCAATATGGGAACAATTAGGCATCATATTGTGACAAAGTAAAAAAACTAAGTTGACGAAATATGTCGAGTGGGGTATCGTTGTCTAGATAATCGAAAATCATGTTTAGGTTTCTTACACCATTTTTTATTTTATCTGACTGTTTAGGATCTACAACGATCTTTTACATGCGCTTGCGCTTGCGCTTTTAATTTCAATCTAACGTTTTTATGGATATTTGTTACTCTTTCACTCAAAAAATACTAAATGGATTTTAATGAAAAACCTAACAATAATATAGCTCATACATAATAATAACATATGTATACTAATTTATGTAGTGATTGGGTGAATTGGCCAGTTTTACGTAAGTTACGTACGTTACGTAATCTCCCACCTGCAAGCCATTTTGGCCTGCACTGCAAAAACAATAAAAGTTACATGAATATAATGTATAGTGGAAATGTATCGCTTAAATAGTTTAACAAAAAAGTCCGTGACACCATATATCTATTTTTAAATGTGTAAGCCATTATCGCTAAAATAGTTAATCAAAAATAAAATATAAGTTGATATCCATTTCCAAAATGCACATTTTGTATAAATAAATTATTTGTTATCTTAGCAAATACTTTTAATGCTTTTGTTAATTGAAGACGATAAACTTTGCCCTTTACACTATGTCATTGCGACAAATATTTAAAAAGTTACAACGATGACAAAGTGAGAGCACGGTGTACCTACTATGCAAGAAAACAAATGGCTAATCGCGGTATCTAATCCTATACGAAGAACTTACAATAAAACTGTGATACAGTTCCTTCTTATAAAATGATGAAAATAAATTATCATAAATAGGTATTTATAATTATTGAAATATAATCAAAAACTCAGAATAATACTGCTTTTAAAGTTTATTTTAACGATATCACTTCATGTAACTAAAAGGTTAATTAACATAATGAGAAATAACCCATTATTATGGCTAGTAGGTAAATACTTGACTTCCT